AAAAAAAAAAAAAGAGAACAAAAAGAGGTAAAATAACAGAAAAAGAAAATTTCTATTTTCATTTAATATTAAGAACAAAAATTTCAAATACAAATATTTGAGTATTGGTTATTTTTACGTAAAAAAAAGAATGAAAAAAAAAAAAACACAAAATCTGCTCTTCTGTTCTTCCATTTACCAAGAAAAAAAAAAGTAAAAAAAAATTTTTTTTTTGGAATGAGGGGTTGTTGTTCTTACTCGAAAAAATAAATAAGCAAATAGATTTCAGCGAAATTACATTAAAAAAAAAGTAAATAAATATAAGAAAAAAAAGTAAATAGAAAAACAACACTAGTTTTTTTCTACTTAACAAATTTCAAAAAAAAAAAATAAAAAATAAAAAAAGACTTTTTTTTTGCACAATAATAGAGTTTTCAGTATTAAGTTAGTTTATAATTGATATAAATATGTGTTAAAAAAAGAAGAACAGAAAAAAAAACCGAAAAAGAAATTATGGTTGCTTGAATGACTCACAATTTTGGAATAACAACTGGCGAATCTCGGTGACTTAATGCTCTTTCAGGTCGCTCAGTAACATTTTGTAATATTTCAGTGCTATTATAAAAGTCTTCTTTTGAAGACGCAATTAACGACAGATCAGCACCAATTCCAGAATCCACCGGTGATGGCATCTCAACATTTTTATACACCCTTTCTTGAGGTACATCAGGATACTGTAAAGCACTATTTCGCTGATATGAGTAATTGTCAACGGAACGATTCCATTCCTGTGGTGCAGTACCTTGAAATACAGCTGGATAATACAGATTTGCAGCCGTAGATGGGGCTGTTATAATTGAAGCTTGAGTAGCTGGATGAGGTAAACTAAGTGTATAATCCTGATAAACACGAGAATAGGTTGGCATAATATTGCCAGGATAATATTGCTCCAGTGGTTGCATCTTCGATAAATCTTGTAAACTTGGCTGAGTTAATGGCGCCAGATCAATGGGTTCATTTTTTGGTGAAAACTCATGCTGCTGACGACCAGGTGGTGCTGTTTTGATAACTGAAGACGAGTTGATAACGCTGGATTCAAGATGGAACTGTGATTGCGACATTATTGTTGCAATTATTGGTGAAGAGTCTTGCGACTCTAATTTCATAATCGTTGGGACCTGTAACGATAATCATCAAATCCATAAGGTCACTCAGTTTATCCAGGTAGTAGCTGAGAAAGTTACCAGATCGTAGTTTTTGGTTTAACCGACACCAACAGTTAATGCAGGTAATAATAAGTGGTATAACAAAAAGCTTTCTTCCTCTTTTTCACCTTTCTTTTTTGTGCATTTCAAGTCCCACTATAAGCACAGCCAAGCCAGAGGAATCAAGGTTAACAAAAAGGCTCAACAATTTAATATACCAACTTCTTCCTTCTATGTTCCATCCTGGCTGGATAATTCCACGACTTTCAGTATAGCCTTATATCAAAATGCTGAATAAGGCATGTTACAGCAGTAGAAGGAAGGTGAGGAGAGAGGGGAAGGGGACAAGGGTACAGGAGGGTGGGGGTAGCAGGGAGTCAAGTTTTTTATTTATTTTTTTTTCTGGTTGCAACAATGAGAAGGCGAAGAAAACAAGAGACAGGCTTGACTAGTGAAAGAGAGGAAAGAGATGCACAAAAAAAAGCGAGTAATTTGGGGAAACAGGCTTACCAAACTATCCGGTCCTTGTAGGCTCGTCTACGGCGAGAAGATAGGGAACGTCACTGGGCACTAAACTCGAAAAACCAGTAAGGGGTTACTAGAGGGAGGCGCGCGAAGGGGGAACGTCGCAGTAAGGGGGCTGGCAAAAAGACCGGTTGCCGATCGGCTGTCACCAATGTATGTTTGGTTGAGCCACCGATTCAAGTCACCGAGAGATGACGACCGAGCCGGAGTGCGCAGACAGTACAACACCTCAACTTGCTCCAGTTTCAATACGTCCCGTCTCTGGTTCTCTTCTCTCTCTGGCATCTCCCTCTGTAATCCCCTGCTATCCCCCTCCCCTCCCCTTGTTTTGTGTCTGTATGTCGTTCTCTCTCTACCCCTCTCCCTTCGTTTTTGTCATCTTTTCTTCAACTGCCCATTTGAAACTACTGCATTTCGGTGTGCCCGTCCAACGACAAAAAAAAAAAAAATAAAAAAAAATAAAAAATAAAAAAAAAAAAAGAGAAAAAAAATAAAAAAAAGCAAAAAAAAAAATGAAAAAAAAATGAAAAAAAAACTGTGTTTTAAAAACCAAAGGAACGTACAAAATTTATATAGTACAATATAATTGTGAACACAAAAAAAAAAAAAAAAAAAAAAAAAAAAAAAAA